GCTTTGGTTAGGTGTAATGTGAAACCACATGCTCAGTTTACACAGGAAGAATGAGAGAAAATACAAAACATAATGCAGCAATGTTCTGAAAAGAAGAACTGTGACATTCCATATGAAGAGATCAGATATTCTCTAAGTCTAATATAAACAAACAAACAAACACGTTCTAAATCCAGAATAATCTTTCAGATTAGCAAATGTATCTGAAATTCAAGGCTGAATGGAGTTTTTGATGCAGGAATTATATTCATGTGATATAATTGCACTAATAAAAAGGGGGCAAAAGTGATAAAGTTTCATTTTCTCATGAGAGAATTTTTCTCTTCAAAATCCATTAAGCAGACTTAAGATATGTAGGCCATTTTGCTGCAACTGCTAGCATGAATGCAAATCTCACATGCTTCTTGCCTGTTAAGTATATAGGCGGTCCATGTTTCGGATTATGTGATGGACACACTCTGAGACTCAGGTCCTACAACAGCAGAGGTACAATACTGGTGTGCTGCTAGAAAGCGTGTGTTACGTGCGTGAGGTTCCTACTGGCTAACTAACTCTCTGACAGCAACACAGAGCTATAGTATGTCTCTTTTGCTTTGTGAAACTCCCAAATTGTTCATAGCTGGTTGACACTGACATACGGGGTCAGCAAACAGCAAAGATTCACTGTGAATGTATGAAATAGAGGCAGGAGAGCATGCGGCAGGAATCCAATGACTGAGTTCCAGTTACCATATTTGGGGCTTGACAGGTCTGTGAATGTTAGTGGTGAAGAAGAGTTTCTTCTGTTCTAGTCTGGACAAATGGCTGTTTAAGAAAAGCTCTGAAATGACCCAGATAGCCCTACCAGTGATCATGTTTTCATATTTTATGTCATCTTGGGTCATATGTCAAATACCAAAAGTGAAACTGTGTTGGGTGCTGTTAACAAAAAAATTTATGTTAGTGGGTCATGATTTCACCAGATGGATTTGTGTCTACTTCAGCATTTTTCTGCAGACTTTAATAATATGCTCTGTTCAGTCTTTTTGTGTTTAAATATGACTCTAGATGTGTAATAATAAATGGAAGTTGACTTTAGAGGACGTGCAGAATCTCTTTATTCTGCTTGAACTTCCCTATTTTTTTTTTCATGTGTCCATCTGCTATAATATCCTTTTTTCTGTCTTTCTTCTATCCCTGCTTGTGTACACGGTCTCTGTGCATCCATTGGTTTAGTCATATCATAGCACATAGAATGTGTGCAGCACATAGAAAGCAGTGATTTTGTATCTGTAAATGAGTTGAATAAAAAACGTGAAAGTAACCAGGCAATAACAACAGCAAAGTGTATCAGCATGGCTGATGTCCTTCAAGACTTTCACAACATTTGCAAAACTTGACATCAAGTTCTCTGGCCTTCAGAGACCTTAAGACTTAGTGAGACCTTACAGACTTAGTGCTTTGGCTGTCATCTATGCCAGCACCATAGTCGGAATGAGAACTGTGTTGCAGAATATGGGGTCTTCGTGCTTCATAAAGAAAGTAAAATGCAGGGTTTTAGGCAGTTTCCATTCCTCAGTTTTAGCCTGAACAGGACAGAAAAAGGCACTATATTGTGGGAACTGGATGTCAGCAAATAGTGGTAACTTTCAAATGACAGGTACTGTCAAGTAAAAAAGTACTGCTGTAGAAGGGAATATTTTGTTCAACTTTTTCCAAAACAAATTTCTCTAGAGATCTGATTTTGTTAACATAGGAGATGACAAATTCATGCTGAAATCAAGAAAGTTTTGATCTTTTTTTCTAAAATGGAGTTCAATTTTTTTTTTGTTAATTTATCAGCTTATCTTTCCCTACTACAGATCCTTCCTACCCTACAAATATTCTTCCTGCACACCAACTAACTTTCAATCTAAGGAAGAATGAATATGACCCTGATTCCTAACGTGAGCAGAATTATAGGAAGAAGGGGCAGCTCTTTCGTTGGATACATCTACATGGAACTTTGAGTTCACATTTTGTATCTGCACTATGGACTTAAGAAAACACCTAGAAAATAGAGGTAAGAAACTCTAGCTTTTACTACCCTTTCTCATATTGTGTATCCACCCATAATATGCTGAGAATGCACTTAGCCTGACTTTTACCGGGCAATTCATATGAAGGGAAGATCTTTCCAAATTCATCCACTACTATTTTAGTTTCATTTCTGTGACTTCAAGATTGACATTTTTAAGAATTTTTTTTTTGCTGATAGGGTGTGAAAATATGGATGCAGTTTTTACAGCTTAATAGTATTTTTTATATAGGTGGAAGAGATGTATTCTTCTCTACCATTTTACTGGCCAATTTTCTACAGTATCCACCCTGCTATACTAATTTATAATAGAAGCAGCTCCTGCAGATAAAAAATGTTCTCCTGCTTTCTCTGGCACCTGGATTCATCTCTTGTGGAAAGCAGCCAGTGAGGCATTTCCCTTTTCCACAAAGAGGCTAGCAAATGAGAGCATTTCTAAGAGCAGGTTTTTGGTCTGAGGGCGTTTAGGGTCTGCTTCCAAGAGATGTGTGGAAGATAGCGAAGAGAAGCATGTATATTGTTAGCAGGTTTCAAATTGATTTATAGGGACCTGCATCTCTGCTGAAAAAAACAGAGGGGCAAAACAGAGAAGGGTGAAGACTTCTGCTCTACTTGTTTCTGCAACAGGTATTCTTTCTACGTGGCCAGGTCCTACTTGTCTGCCTTTGATACAACCCACTCCATCAGGGCTGAGTGGATTCTTTCAATTAGCAAGTGTGGCCACCTGCTGGGGAAAAAAACAATGTAAAAATAAACTAAATCAGAAATAACAGAATGTACAAAATGGTAATACCTTGAGCACAGGTAGATAGCCCGCTGGAAATGCAACAAACACAAGAATAAAAATTGAAGTCCCAGTTTCCTGTATCGTACTATTGCCATACAATTTTTGTGATGCTATGCTTTGCTCTTCCTCTGTATAAATAGTTCCCTCTTTTGACAGTTTTATCCTTCCCCAGTTACTCCTCTCAATCAGATCAAATTCATCCCTGATTTCTAACACCTGCAGTTTTGTTCAAATCACAATTTAGCCTTTACTAGATAGAAATTGCACCTGACAGAAGAACAGATCACAAAGCAAAATGTAACCGATCATTTTACTTCATTTATTAAACTACCAACAATTATTGCTTTATTTGGCAGGAGCACTCTAAACTTTCAGTAACAAAAATTATTATTGAAGGAAGTATAAATGAACTGAACATGTTAAGAGTTTACAAGACCTTCTTTAGTTCCTAAGTGGTAGTGGATGTTCTATATTAGCGGTGTTGTACAGCCATGTCTACAGCAGAAAAACACACCTACTTTTGAAAAAGGGCACCAGCAATGGCCACAGGAGATAATAGCTGAAGTATGTTACCTGGAGAAGATTAAGCTACGTTCACGTGTGCTAGAAGCTAGCTGATCATAGTACTGTTGATGCCTCCGACAGCTGGAGCAGGTAGTCAGGCACCCCTACTGTCCGGTGGCCCAGTCATCAGAGTAATCGCTGCCCGAGCCTCTTGTTGTGGTTTAACCTCAGTCGGCAACTGAGTACCACACAGCCGCTCGCTCACTCCTCCTCCCCCACCCCGGTGGGATGGGGGAGAGAATCGGAAAAGCACAAGTGAGAAAAACTCGTGGGTTGAGATAAAAACAGTTTAATAATTGAAATAAAATAATAACAACAATAATAATGTGATAATAATAATAATACTGCACAAAGCAAGTGATGCACAGTGCAGTTGCTCACCACCTGCCGACCGATGCCCAGCCAGTCCCCAAGCAGCAGCCCCCCCCGGCCAGCTTTCCCCAGTTTATGTACTGAGCATGACGTCCCATGGTATGGAATGTCCCTTTGGCCAGTTTGGGTCAGCTGTCCTGGCTGTGCCCCCTCCCGGCTTCTTGTGCACCTCCAGCCTTCTCAAGTCGGTAGAGCATGGGGAGCGGAAAAGCCCTTGACTAGTGTAAGCACTGCTCAGCAACAACTAAAACATCGGTGTGTTATCAACATTCTCATCCTAAATCCAAAACACAGCACTGTACCAGCTACTAGGAATGAAATTAACTCTATCCCTGCCGAAACCAGGACACCTCTCATCTTCCATTTGTAGGAAAGGGTCCTGAGAATTCAGTTTTAATTTAGCTTCCTTCATTTTAAATCCTTATCAAACAAATGCTAGAGCCGAGAATAAAATGGCCACAGCTGGTAATGTTTGTTAATTAATTACGGTTAAGGTCTGTCGGTTTATCTAAAATTGGTTTTGCCGTCATAGGACTATAGGGAATGGAGCAGGTTGTGATTAAATTTAGATGTTTTGCTGGGAAAAAGGGGAGAGTTTACTAAAAGTCACCTGAGAGTAAAAGTCTTTATAAGAGCTGAGGGGCTTCGAAACAGGGGTGAAACTTGTTCAGTCTTACCCACATTGCTTTTCTGAAATAATCTGCATCTGTTTATAAAAGGCAAATACAGTGGTTTAGATATACGATGTCTTGACTCATTTAAGACAAACAGTAAGAGCATTCACATGTCCTGATATATGGGTGGTGCTGACGGGCTTCTCTCACCCACCTGTGTGCTGTTACATAGGTGGGAGTTGCAGTTTTCTCTAGAGGAACAGTCTCAGTATAAAATATTTTATTAATATGTTTATACACGCGACAACATTTGTGAAAGGGGCTGTATTTTTTATTAGAATAATTAATGAAGATTTAAAGTTTGATCAGATTTTTGACCATGTAAGACCATCTTTCAACTCAAAGAAGACTCAACCTGCCTGTCTGAAAGCTGGTGGATTTTCAAGCAGTTTAATAATCGGTCTAAGAAACATACTACCTCTGCAGTTAGACCTCTCTTATTTTCTTAGGTCGTGACAGATACAAAATAGCTTGAGTGCGATTTGCTTCCTGGCTTTCTCCAGGGAGTGTGAGGGGGGAGGACGGTGGGTGCGGAGCGTGAGGGGAGATGGCGGGAGTGCCGTGGGTGC